CAGGGGTAAGAAACCCTTGGTCCTCTCTCAATAGGCAAATTGAGACCTTCGCTCACTTGCCATGTGGGTTCTTGCAAGGTCACCATAGTCTTTATTAATCTGATCCTGCCTTTTCTCTCTCCGCTGATTCCCATGCATGTCCTAGTAGGCTGTGTCAGTCAGGAATGGGAGTTTCTGCGGGACATGAACAAAGCTTGGTTTATTAATGTTTTCTGATGAGAGAACCTGGCTGCATAAGCAGCTGTGTGGGCCAGAGTGTATTGAGTCATAATTCACCAAAATCCAAAACCTATTTAAAAGAGTTGCTGCTAAAAACAGATAGAAAAAAGATATCTCTTGTTTGTATGGGGACGAGGAATGCAGGAGTCTTTGTTTTGCCTCATTCTGGGAAGAAAAAGAGGCAACTTGTCTATTTTGTTCCATTCTTAAATTATGACTTACAGATAGATTAGTCAATAAAGTAGGCATCTCCACCTTGCCTTTGTGCATACCTGGGATATTTATTTTGAAAATAGCAAGATACAGTGGTGCCTCGCAAGACGAAATTAATTCGTTCTGTGAGTTTTTTCGCCTTGCGATTTTTTCGTCTTGTGAAGCACGGTTTGGGAAAAGTTTTGGAAAAGCTTCAAAAATCACCAAAGTCTTCAAAAACCTCAAAAAAGGCTACCACACCGCGTGCTATGAGTTGCTCCTCGAAGTCAAGTCGCAACTGTATTAACGGTTTTAAGAAAAAGGAAACAAACTTGCAAGACGTTTCCATCTTGCGAAGCAAGCCCATAGGGAAATTTGTTTTGCGAAGCAACTCAAAAAACCAAAAGCCCTTTCATCTTGCGAGTTTTCCGTCTTGCGAGGCATTCGTCTTGCGAGGTACCACTGTAGTTTGTGCAAGTGTATATTTATTTGTGTGTGTGCTAGTGCAGAAGTGTGTAACCATCTTTCTACAAGTGGTCTTTAGCCATTTGAAGATGTTTTTCCTGTCTTCATATAATCCATAATACTGTAAAGCCATTTCAAAATTAGTGTCAGGTTTTTTTGGTCATTATGTCTGAATTGGGATGTCATAGTTCCCCTGCTGCAGACTTGCCAGTTGTGTGTCTGTGTGTGTATGCCATCTTGAGCAAATGCTCTTTGCCTGCGTAGATGACGACAAAACACTTATCTGAAATAGCTGTTCATGTCTTCATCATGTTTAGAGTTACACGGCCTTGGAACTTGTTTATGTTCACTGGTTATAACGGTTTAATTGTAGAAATGCCATGCTGAAGATACTGGATGGTCAAAACTAACGTATTATTTATTGCAAGCATTTATAGTCTGTTCTTCACCCAATGTTTCCAGGGCGGAAAATACAAATACAATAATACAACAAGATAAACAAAAATCAACATCATCAAGGAACAATTGATAGTAAACATCTGCGATAAAACCGCAGCAACAAAATCAGAAATCAGGACAGTGCAACAGAAGGTGCTATCGGTACCTAATGCACTTTATCCCTCCTGAAAGGCCTGAACGAGTAGGTGTATTTTCACCTGTCAGCAAAAGTCAGAGCATGATGCACCTCAGAGGGGTGACCTCATTCTATCAGCACCGAACCATCATCCTGGACTCAGCTACATTAGTCGAAAAACAGCATTTCAAATGTGTTATAAGCATGCAACACCAGTTGACACTGTAGAGCACAAAACTTTTCTATGTAATTTTACATAGTGGGGTTTTTCCTTTTGTTACAACGATTTAAATTATAGCTTATTTATAGTGGTTTCCGCCCTCGTGTGTAGATCCATCCCTCATTGAAGTACATATTTTCAAAGGAAAACCTTTACCCATAAGTTCATACACTTGGATTTATAACCTTCAAAAATGCTTCCTGATTCTCTGAATGCATTAATTTTCCAGTTCTTGGTTCCAGAATAATATTTCATTACTGGACAACCCTTTATTCAGCTTTATATTTTTGTTCAATAATCCTGATCAGAGACCACCAGACTCTCTAACATCCTCTCCAAGCTTGCTCTGGCTGAAGATTTGTTATTGTTAATCAGCCCCATCTTCCTCTCACCTGGGGCTCATTATACAGTGACTGACAATTCCCCAAGAGCCATCTTTCAATTACTTGCAGCTGTCCTTGGAGGCCCAAGTCTACCAAAACCCATGGCAGCCTGCCATAGCTACTTTTCTGAGTTTTGTTTCACATAAATCTCACAGTATTACAAAATGAGCAGCCAGCAATTGCTGTTACATAAACTGCAGTTTTCCAAGTTCTTGGAAGAATTAAGGCTGAAGAATTGGACTCAGTGGGATATCCTCTTGCTTGGGAAAATAACAGGCAAGGCAAAAAGTGGAAGCAGCAAGAAGGCAGGAGAAGAAGCCTTGCTGGATATAAGCAAAGAAGTAAACAGGATGCTTCCATACCATCAAATGAAATAATTTTCTCTGCTGATGAAAATAAAAGAACAAATACCTGATGTCCAAGATGGAAGTGATGGAAGTTATGAATTGACTTTAGGAAAACCAAGTAAACCTTCCACTTCTAATAAAAAGGCAGAGTAGAACATCATTAGAAATACATAATGTTGCTATGCAGAGCATCGGATAGGGTGTTAGCCTGCATGCCACAGCTGCTATCACCACAACCACCTTTATGGATGCTGGCTTGATCACTGAGAGGACAAGAGACTTGGGACCCCAATAAAAAGTTATGTAGTCTCTGGATCAGGAATTGGATTATCTTTGTCAGAAGGGTGAAATTGATTTCATCTCCTCTGATGGTCATGAAGATACAACTAAAGTTATGCTGAAAGCAGACAATTCACATCGGCAGTTCCCCAGCATCAGAACACCATTATTCTGTGTGCATTGAGCCAGGTGAAATATATCTCTACTACTACACTCTGGAAAAAGGCTCAAAGAGGGGGGAAAACAGCTGATGTTATTGCTAATGATCTTGTAGATGTCATGAAGACAAAGGGCATTGGTTAGAGCATTCAGGCCATTGAAAGTGATTATACAAATGCTAACTGGCTGGGAGCATGTTACCATGTAGTGGGTACAGGTCAAGATTGGTCGTAAACTTGATCTGGTTGGTTTGTGCTCTCCACACCAATGACTTACCCTTAAGACACCTGATCACAGCACTTGATGGGAAGACCTTATCTAACAACAAGTGGACAGGTAACGTTGGCAAGACACTTCTACATAACTTGAAATTGAGCTTTCATTCGCCAAACTCTCAATTGGAGAGCCTCTTACTTCACTGATTGACAATGTTGTAAAGGATCTGTCTACTGATCAAGCCTACAGGTATCAGATCACACATGCAATAAGGATAGGAAAACTTCCCACAGATCTGGCCCTTCTTGAAATTGGTTGAACGAGCCATTCAAGGTGGTTAACAACAGCAAACAAGCTTTCTTGCATATGAGTTTCAAAACATGGCCTTAAAGGCAAAACCCTCAACAACTTAAGACTGATAGTGGAATATATGGTTTGTGTGTACTACCCTTGCTGGTTCAACATCAAAATAAAATATTATTAGGTGGAAGGCCCACACCACATTGTGTTTCAGCTGCTGCAATTTAGGCTGCAAAAGCAGACTGTAGTGGATGCTGTTCTGCCAACCATCCAGAGCTCAGCATGGTATGCATTCAGCATAATAATAAATCAGACACTCTTGTGCTCAGGTGACATAAATTCTCACTGACCACGGTTTCTAGAGAAAATGAAAAGGTTCATAAAACAAAACTATAATGCCCTAATACACATTTCAGTGCTGTTATAAAACAAGAATGTAGACCTATAATTGTACTACTGCAGATTTCCAAGCAGAAATAAATTGTGCAACTGTTTCTAGAATTTCGTGCCTGGTACGTCAGAAACATTTTGTTCAGTTCCCAAAAATGCTGTAAATGAGAGCGATTAATTTAATATACATTCTTAATATACAATAATTAATTTTAAAAGTTAGATATGACACTCAGATAAAGGCTCTTGTAGATGACTGATGTAACTATCTGCAGTACAGTCACTTGTAAATTAGTAGAATTTGCAACTCGCTTATTCTGATGATAATTTAATTTGTTAATTGATTTGTTTAACCCATATTTCACTAAATTTGCAATACTTTTTCTAGAAATAATTTCGTTAGAATTGTAAGCTTTGGTTTCTAATCTACATTTATCTTTGCTTTCTTGAAACGACATACAAGTATAATAATGAAATCCTGGGCGTGTCTTCTGGCTGCCATGTGTTCGGAAGTTCCCGGACATAGATGGGATTCGTCCATCGAAGAGATTCCCCCCCCCCCCCGAAAAAGAAAAAGCTCAACAACTTTGCAAGCAAAAAAAAAGAGAAAAAGTGTTTGACAACTTTTGTGTCTGGATTTTCACTTTTTGAAATACGACAATCCTATAATAAGTTTGTTGGCATGTATTAACTACAGTTATCCAAGGAACGGTGGGAGTGAACAAAGGAACCATAACTGATTACCTGTGGTCACCGTGGTAGGCACAGAAAGTACCATCAAAAGTTGATAGGGCAGACATTTGATTGTGTTGCCGCTGCCGCTGGGGGTGTGATTGACCCAATGTTATCTAGAATCATTAAAGCAGCTGGGCAAGCCTGGGTTGATTTTGGTCTGATAAATGTACATATCCCTGGAGCTCAGCATGAATTTCCCCCCAAATAGCTCAAAAACATCTCCTTTTTTAATTTAGATTTGGCCCCGCCCCCCACCTTTTGTGTCCAGATTTTCACTTTTTGAAATACGGCAACCCTATATTGTTCATTCTGACATACTCCCAGGTAAGTGCATATAGGATTGCAACATCAGTGTTTCAGCATCATCAAAAAGCTTGAAATCCCCATTTTGCCTGTAAGGTTTAAGGACCATTAATTCATATAATAAATTATGCAACTGTGATTACTTTTTAAAAGGCATTAACCTACTCACATTTGGGTTGCTGCAGCTTCTCCAGTGACACCTTCTCTTTCGTTTTCAGATGGGCACATTTAAGTCCCATGACGGTGAATACTTTTTGGAACCTTTGATGACAGCAGCTGAAGATGAACAAGAAGATGACCATAATAAACCACATCTAATATATAAACATGAAGAATTTAAGAAAGATTCTTATCAGAATTCCTATAAACCTTGTGAAACTTCAGGTACAACTAAATCTTAAACAGTGATGGACAATTATCTTGTTAGAATCACCAGTGGTTTGTTGATACTATCCCATGGTGGTATTAGTCTTCATCAAGATATGCTTGTGTTTCTCTATCATGTTGGTGGTGTTGGGTAAGATGCTGTAAGTCAGGTGTGGGGAACCTTTAGCCCTCAGATGCTGGTCATTGGTCATGCTTACAGGGGCTGATGGGAGTTGTAGTTCAGCAACAACTGGAGCGTCCCTATACCTGCTGTACATGATTGTTGAAGATGAAGGGTGTATCTAAGCAATGAATTCACATTTAACAGACTTGTTACCACATAGAATTCTGGGAATTGGTGTCAGACTGAGAATTATGTTAGAGAGCCTCAGCTTTTTTCACAAAACTGCATTTCCCATTTCCTGTGGGCAGGGAAAGACTGTTAAACTAGTTGAAGTCTGCAGTGTAGCTGTCCCCTCAGTATCTGTGCTGAAGTGACATGATCTGCTACTGCTGGCATCTAAGAAAGGTTGGCAGGTTAGTAAAATACGGATGCCCTGATCTGTACTCAAGAGACCTGGCCAGCATTTTCTTCCATGTTCTTTATTAGATGCTCCATCTTAAAGGCTGCAGTGTCCTTTGGTATGATTGGACTAGAGCTGTTTTTTAAAATTGTGTTGTGTATTTTAGTTCCAGAGGAGAATGACGCTTGTATGGAGAATACCAAGCAGGGTTTAATTGCAGAATCAGGTTGGATAAAGTTCTTGTTTAGCTTTAGAAATTTAATTGGAAGATGTGAACAGGCCATTTTCTTCCTTCATTTAGTCTTACATGGCTTCCTTTCATTAAAAGGCTTTGCAGTCTGGAGGTGTGTCGTGACACTTGGCTGATCAGGCATCAGATAATGCCAAAATACTCTCAACCCCCCCCCCACCCCCGCCATGTTTGGTTGGCTACTGAACAGTGTCCATTCCTTTTCCAGGAATTGGACATAGCATTTCCAGTAATTCCTGTGTAGTGGAAATTTGTATGATTTTCAATTAGATAACCTGGGACTGTTATTAAAAATGGATAAGCGTGCGTTTGCTTTTTGAAGGAAAAGGCTTATGTTTATAAGTTTGGAAACAGCAAAAATGGTAGATACGTGCTGTTGTTTTAACATATGCTCTCTGAACAGCATTTCTCTTAACTAGATCACATGCGTTTTTGAGAGTTGGCACCATTGCCAAGCGCTCAGCCTAGGGCTTGCATACAGATTAAGAATATTCTGACAATTGTGAATAATGCAGAATGCCCCTTAAACAGTATTTTGTGAAGTAGGGCGGTAGAGAGAAATGAAGGCAGCATGCTTTAGGATATACTTTAGCCTTTCAATTCTGGTTTGATGTAGCAAGATTGGCAATTTTCTGCCAATTCCTCATGTGCGGAATTGTTTCTTAATTTGATACATAGGAAATAATTGTGAGGATCTTGCTGTTCAGTGCATTTTGTTTAAAAAGGCATTTCTTGTATACCGCGATTCCTCTTATGGTTAAGGAAAGAGGCAGCATTGTACAGGGAGTGGAGTTTCTGTGTCCAACATAACTATACGCCAACGCTACCTCCCAACATCACCTGCCAACCAGACTTTTCCATTGCTTCCTCAAATTACTTCTCCATTTTTTACTCACCCTGCTGCTAGAAAATGGAAAAATCCAAATCCCACAAAATCACAACCATTGAGTTCAAAATAAAGCATAATAAATTCTGGGCATTTATGCAGACCTAAGCCTAAGATTTGGCTTAATGTTGCATCTTAATTCAGGATCTCTCCAGACAAAGCAGGAGTTGTACAAGGGCTTAGTAGGGTTTACAAGGGCTGTGCATTATGTAGCCTATTGAGATTTTTGGTGGTCATGTCATATTTGTGACTAATCAAACTCAGATTGCATTAAAATAAATCTATGGCACCCCCTTCTGTTTGTGGTGTCACTCTTCTCCACCTGCATCAAAGCAACATCTGCTTCTCTATCCTTTACATTTGTCACCCCCTGGTGTCCACCCTGCAGTATAGCTGTTTAAAAAATGATGGCTGCAATCCGATACACATTTACGGTAACTGGAAATCTGTTCCTTTGAACTTTGTGGGATTTAGACAGTGCGAGTAGAAATCTATTGGAATTTTTATTGTGTATATAATGGTATCATAGGTGGTCAAGACATATAATACCAGTTTTGCAAAGTCAGCCTTCAGATTTAACGTGTTCATTCATGGAAAACTAGGTGAGGAAATGTATGTTTAGCAAGAAGATTGTGTCCCCTTAGGAAGGTCTGTGTGGTGCAATCCCATGTGTATTTTTTGAAGTATTTATGTGTAGATTAGGCAGTGTTGTTAGTTCTTCACTGTTTCATATGAGAGCAACTGTTTCTTCTTATAAGAGTAATTATTTATTCTTGTGGAGTTTTTTCAACATCTTAATTTCCAAGCCATGTTCATCACTGTGCATTACTGCCATTTCTTTACAAAAGTCTCTCCCCTCCATATAGTTAGGTAGGAAGGCAGTTTTATAAGTACGTAATACTTGTAGTTTATGACTTTATAATTCACAGTTTATCAATCTGCCATTTTTGTGTCTCATTCCTGTATTTTGAATTTTGCGTATCTTTAATTTCACTGGCCTGTTATTTTTATATCACTGCATCTCAACCATTTTTTTTTTGTTCCCTAATGCTGTGATTGATAACTCCACATTGTGTATAAATGGGTTGTATCTTCTCAACCTCTTGTTCTGTGAAAAGAAACCTTCTTGCTAAGCCATTGAACTAAGCAGAAAAAGATTCACAGTACATAAAACATTGGTAGCGGGTACAATAGCACCAAGAGGGGTACTCTTGTTAAAGTTTGTTTTGAGGGAATTTGAAACTTGGGGAAAAGAAAGGTAGTAGACAATATTCCATAAGCATCACACACTCGAAGAGGCACACTATGTACTGGATAACAGCCAGCAGTGAAGAGGCCTCTTTAAGGGTTGCTGTCTCCACGCACAGGTGTTGCCATATGGTGTCTGGATTTCTAACCAATGGGTTTTAGAATAACACTTTTGTTCTTATTGTGCATGTGTTATGTAGCAAATGCCAAGTTTCAGAGTTGCTTTATCCACCGAGAACAACAGAAGTAGAGCGTTATAGGAAAGCCTTCAGGCAAACTTGCAAGTTTAGGACATCTTTTCTTTTGGTATTCAGCATCCCCATCTTTGTTTGGAATGGGATGAAGAATATGAGCAAGACTGATTCAGGCTTCTTTTTCAGTGCTGGGGATTGTTGGCCTTGTTCCCTATGAGTCCTGGGTCTTTATAAGGTGCCTTTAGGCAATTATTGACTGGCAGAGAAAGAGCTTGTGTTGCCCAAATAGCCCAAGCAGAAATTTTAGCTATTGAATGTAGTAATGACATTGAATGTAAACGAATTTCTATGCTAGCCTGACACTGCTTATTGGCAAGTGAGCATAGATTAGTTTCTGTTCTCTTTTGGGCAGATTGGTAACATTCCAATCTTCTTTTCTATCTGTTCCCTTGTTTGTACAATGGTGCCCAAAGCAAGAAAAGCAAAAAGGGCAGAACTGAGTTCCTGTGCGTGCAAAGGGTCCTCTTAAGTATGCAAGCAAATCCCATTTCTGTTTTTTATATTAAAAAAACTATCCCCCCAAATGACCTGAAAGAGATGGGGACTGAGAAGTGTGCATGTGAAGCAAGAGAGAACTCAGGTGTGAGCCTGCACATGCCAGAATTCGGAGTTAACACCTAAACAAAGCAAATACCTTGTTTCTTCAGCCTAGCGCATAAAGGGCAGAGGGAGGAATTGAAATCCAAACAGACAAAAACTTTATGTTCATTCTTCAAGCCAATTCCCCCACTTTCTGTGTGATCCTTTAAGCTGCAAGGGGACTGCAAGAAAAATATGTTTAGCATTAGGGTGTTAGCCTTGCAAATTGTATGTGAAATAGTAATAGTTCGTTTTGTTTTGCAGAAGAGCCAAAGAAAAGCACTTTACTATTTCCATATGAGAGCAGCTTAATGAAAGACATAAATGTACTTCAGGAGGACACTGTTGTAGAATATGCTTCTAAAAACCTTTCTGTCAAGAGTGATAGAAACAATCCACATTCCCGGAGGAAACGTTTCCTTTCCTATCCAAGATACGTAGAGGTGATGGTTACGGCTGATGCCAGAATGGTTCAGCACCATGGACGGAACTTGCAGCATTATGTATTAACACTAATGTCAATAGTAAGTAAGCCTATATTACAGATGTATTCCAACAGGTACTTGAGGGGAATTAATGTTGTATCCCTGTCAGCCTGGAGGGACCACAGTAGAGCCCAGACAACTGTTCCTGGCTTCCCCTGTCATTGTTTTAAGCAACGTACCATTTAGACTGCAACCTCCAGAATTGTGATCAAAGGCTTTTTGTGTCCCCCCCCCCCAATGGCAACCTTTCCCTACCTGATGACATGTTGCAGTGTATCCATGAGCCTATGAGTGCAATTTCCCTGGTCTTCCTCCAGGCCAGAAGGAGAGTTGGAGAATTAGCCAAACATGCCCCCCAGCTTGAACAGCCTTGTGAGATTTCACAGTTACAGAGCAGAAGATTTGCACCTGCACTCCAGCCTCTTGCTGCCAGGATTCCATAATGCAAACATTTTTAATTTGGAGAAAAATTGACTGTCTTTTGCAGGAAGGGGTTATAGAGAGGAAAGAAGTAGGCTTCTGTATACCTCAGGGTTCCCCTGTGTATGCAGAAAATACCTTGTTTGTGAATGTCCAGTTTTGCTTCCAAGCTGATTGGCATAGGGTCACACATTTTGCTTTTAGAATGAATGATACGGCTATTCAAGGGGGGGGAAGAACATTCATTTGGGCTAGCATAGTAACCTGGCACAAGCCCAGGCAGCTCTTTGGATCCAGGCCCATATTACTTGGTTGGCTGTATCCAGTGACAAATTCTTTTTGACAGTAAATTTGGTTCTAAAAATGATGTCAGGGGAATGTTGAGCCCCAGATATCCACAAATAATGCTGTGAATACATATAATGTCAGATTTGCTTCTACTCATCTGTTATGTACAGTTCAGACCAGTATGGATTAAAATAAACCTATTTCATTTCATTTAAATTAAAGAACTTTGGCTTAACCGGGTTGTGGATGAGGTTTACATCTAAAACAGCTATGGAACTTGTGTGTGTGTGTGTGTGTGTGTGTGTGTTGTGTGTGTGTATAAGCATAGATATGGTCTCATAAGAATTATCATTGCCTTTATTAAATAGAAAAATAGGAACTTAACCCAGTGTACAGGCTTATTAAAATACTTGTTGCACCTAGAAAATAACTAGAATTTTTGGAAGCGGAGAGATTTGAATACCATGCCAGAGGTTTGCCATAATACATGACCTTTTCCTGGTATGGCAAGAATGTACCAGTAGTTTCCCAAGTTTGATGGGTTTGTCCCATTGATGACAACAGGACAATTAGCTAGTTTTCATATTACATTTGCCCTAAATAACTGTTACGCTGATTCTGACTGGGAATTGGCATTCAAGTGGCATTTGTTAGTTTCTCTGCTTGTGTATATATTGCAGTTAGAGAAAATGTGACATGAAAATTGGTTCAGACAGTGCAATCCTATGCTTCATTATTCCTAACTAAGATCCACAGTATTCAGTGGGGTTTGCTGCCTGGAAAATATGGATAGGATTGCATGCTAAATCAAATAGGGCAGAGGAGTTGAATGAATGTTCAATGCAATGTTGGATTCCACTGAATGTACAGTACCGTAGAATTTTAACACTCTGGCTTTTATTTATCTAGGTTGCTACAATCTACAAAGATTCAAGTATAGGAAATCAAATAAATATTATGATTGTAAAATTAATTGTAGTTCACAATGAACAGGTAAGAAAATGCATTCATTTCACGATTCAGAGTAACTTGCTGCAATTTTCAGTTTTAACGTGTACTTTCAGAAGTTAATGCTTTTAAAAGTATTGAAATTAAATGCTTGAAATGAGATTTGCTTAGCTGCTCTTCCAAGTATTTTGTACATACATTGCAGGCAGACAGGCTGGTGCAAATGTTTAGAATTGGGATCTAGCTATTAATACTGATTAACATGGCCAGGTTATTATTTATCGATTTATCAGGGGGGGGGCTATTGGGTTGTTTTTATTTTGATTATATATTTTGTGGTTTTATATTTTGATTTTATTCTGTGAACCGCCCTGAGACCTCTGGGTATAGGGTGGTATATTATTATAATAATAATAATAATAATAATAATAATAATAATAATAATAATAAATGATAATATTTTAATGCTGACCAGATTCAGCCTTGACCCTGCCAACTAGTTTTTCTGGTCATCAACTTGCTCAAAATTCATACAGATATGTACCATTGAGATATCTTTTCCAGAGCTGGTCTTACATTATGATATAACTGCAGTGGATTTAAACTTGCCCATCCTTGTTTTGTCTTGGCAACTTATGTACAGGAAGGACCAGCTATCAGTTTTAACGCAGCTACCACTCTTCGCAACTTCTGTTTATGGCAGCAAACACAAAACATTATGGATGATGCTCATCCTTCTCACCACGATACTGCAGTTCTTATCACTAGGTACAGTATCTGAGAAAACTCATTTTTCGTTACTATCCCTGTTCCATAAAATTACTGCATAGAAGTACCATTGGGCCCTCTTAAGCTTTGTGTGAACAATCAGGATTAAGAAGAAGAGGAGGAGGAATTTGCAAATAAGAGGGAAGGGATATTGAGAAGGAATGCATAAACCCCTGATCTGCTTCCAGTCTTAGTCTAGTTGAGGATTGGCTGATATTACACCTGTAACCATGTGGGGCATGTTCTTTTGGAATTTAGTGCCATTGATCTTAATAAAAAATATGTATGTTTAGGGTCACAGCTAGGCCCCTTGATCCCAAAGTGCTGCTTTACTGCAAGTACATCTTTGAGAACCAGTCAAATGGGGCACTTGCCCATTAAAACTGTTGAAATTTTAATGAAATAATTCCATGGGGGGGATTCAGAAAAGTATGTACCTGTATAGGTATCAGGAATATGTTTTCCCTGTTGTTTTTAAGACTGAAATTTTCATAGAAAACCTTTGTTTCTTTAAGGGAAGATATCTGCAGAGCTAGAGAAAAATGTGACACCTTAGGTAAGTCAAAGCAAAAAAATGATCATGCCATTTTTCTGCAAATAAGAAAAAATGGTTGTCTTAAATTGTAAATGAGTATTTAATGTAATTTATCTTGTTTTGTAAACTTTTTGAACATATTTTGAACCTTTGTAAGCATATGGTTACATGATGATAAATATTTGGATCAGAGTCCTAGGCCTGCATTTGTCTGTGAAGACAACACTGCTGCTAGATAACCTGTTTCACATTCAGATAACAAATTCCATTTTATAGGTTTAGCTGAACTGGGTACAATGTGTGACCCACTGCGTAGCTGTTCCATCAGCGAGGAAAATGGATTAAGTGCTGCGTTCACAATAGCGCATGAACTTGGACATGTGTAAGTCTGTCTTTTCTACCAAGTAAATCTTGCATTTGCCTTACATAGGGGACACAGTATTTTTATTTTGCAGGTAAGCCTCTGCATGATTGGCTGAAAAAGCATGAGCTTGCAAGGAAGTGCTGTATTTACATACTAATACTTAGCATCCATATAGCAGTTTAGACTCTAAAGTTGGGAGTGTTCATAGTGGTTCATATACAGTACGTTATCTTACTGATTCCCAACAAGAACATTGTAAGATATCTCAGTGCCGTTACAAGTGGCGTTGCTGAGAATAGCTTGAATCTTGGCCTTCTGGTGTAAATTATTATCATATCTTGGCCACTGTGCTACTCCAGGTTATCATAAAAACCTGGCATATTTTGAAATGAATTTAAGTAGTAGATGGCAGTAGGGCAGCAGTGCTCATCTGACCATTGGTTGCATTGCTGCTGCTTACCAGGAAGTAGGGTGGGAGGGGCAAGGCTAGTGAGATGTAAATGCACTGGTGGGAGCAGCAGAGTGGCTCCGCCAGTGTGTTTGTACTATACCAATCTTACCATTGCCTCCTCCCCACTTTTACCTCCTGATAAGCAGCAGCAATGTGACTGGCCAGAGGTCAGGTGAGCTCTGCTGCCCCACCATGCTAGGAATTTGCCAGAATATTATTGTGTTGAGACTCGCTTGGGTCTTTTCACTTTTTGCCCCCAAATATGCACAGCTCTTACTCTGCAACATCTTAATCCCCAGTTTCTAAAAACATTGCTGAGATTCAAATTATATATTTCCATAGGTGAGTTGTTAGAAAGGCAAATAACCCCTAAAACACCATTCTATTATTCAAGTGCTGTCATAATCAATGAGGCGATGCATCAGTTTAATGTTTGCTCGTATCGTTATTGAAAAGTAAGAGGCCCTTTCTGAATTTGTTTTGTATTTGTATTAGGTTTAATGTTCCCCATGATGATAGCTTTAAATGTAAAGAAGTTGGGATTAAACATCAATATCATGTAATGGCCCCGACTTTAAACTACCATTCAAACCCATGGACTTGGTCAAAATGCAGTGAGAAGTACATTACTGAATTTCTTGAGTAAGTATGGTTCCAGTCCATCCAGCTTCTGCATATGTTTAGCACATGGATGCTGTAGTGGTGGGCATTTGTGTGATTTCTCTGTCATGCAGAATTTCAACCTTTAACTTTATTAAAATAGGTGTTAAATGAGGGGCCGGGGGAGAAAGAGAAAAGCTTCAAATAAATTAACATTTTGGGGTTTCCTTACAAAAGGTAAAAACAATTCATCATAGTTTAGAACACAACTATATTAAATTTGAACATGTGCTTATTTTGTGTCAGAAAATAGGTTATGCATCAATTCACAAACCCAGAGTTGATTTCTTGTAATAGCACTGCATTAAGTTGAATTATTTAATAGCAGTGCACCATAGCAAATCAACCCCAGTCCTAAAATTTATTTACAAAGTATGTTTAAATCAAAAGCAATGTGTCGTTTAAGAGAAGTTCTGTTTGTTTATTATAGCACTGGTTATGGGGAATGCCTTCTTGACAAACCAAATGGAAGAATCTATGACTTTCAGTCTCAGTTGCCTGGTTCCCTCTATGATGTGAACAAGCAGTGTGAGCTTATGTTTGGACCTGGGTCACAAGTATGTCCTTACATGGTAAGTTACATAATGCAAAACACAATTTATAATACTTGCATAACACTTCAAAACTTTGCTGAAATTATCTTGAAATCCTGAGAAGATGGTTGAAAATGTTTTTGGCACCCCTCTTTAATTTGTAATTCCTTGTTGCCTTTGCTATCCTTGAAAACACATGTATCCTGCATTTTAGTGCCATACCACAATATTTCTATTAGCTTTTAATTGTTTCTTTTGTTAGTGACCCAGGTAATGGAGGAGCTAGAAATAAATATTTAACAACATTTAATGAATACTTTTAATGGAAACAAAATATATCAACTCTGTTAACTCAGTAATCAGTAATAAAGGAAGGTTAGCAGGAAGATAAAAGAATGATAAAATAAATAAAATGATAAAGTAGCATCTTTAAAAAATGTTGCCAAGGTAGAGGTGTTCATTCCTCTGCAAAGGGCAATATTCAGAAGAAGTAAGATATTGCTTGAAATGCAGTGTCGAAATAGAGTTTGATAGTAAAGGGGCAGCAAAGCCACAAAAGCTAATCTAAACGTAATCAAAATGTATTTTGTGAATACTTCTTAATCACACTGAGCTAAGAAAGAGACATATTATCAGATACATAGATTTGTCCCTTCCTTCCTCTTCCCCCTCTTTTGATTCCAAAATGGAATTTAAAGTTTACCTAGTGTAGTTCTTTGGATCTTAGCTCAAGACCAAACATTTATAATGTAAACTTAATTAATGACAGACCAATCCTACCAGATTGGGGGACTGAGTGGTTACTGTCATATCCAAATTCTTTTTTCTTTTTTTTAAATGGACTCACTTTGCCTGACAGAATGTAGAAGGAGCGTATTTCATCCCCTGCTTCTTCTGTTGAAACTCCTGCTGGTCCCACTGGGGAGGGGAAATAAGTATCCCAATCCCACAGTGGAGTACTTCATTATTTGAGGGCATGTTAGAAATGGGAGGGCTTTGGATTAAATCCATTTACTCTCAGCACATCCCTGATATGCCCATTCTCCCTCCAACCACCACTGGAGCAGAGACAGCTGTTGTGGTTTCTGCAGCTGCAACAAACAGGCCTCTGCAGCTGATCCACCTGCTTTGGCCATGAAGAGGAAGATCCCCCAAACTCCTATGCACTTTAGGATAGCCATAACCTTTAGTGGGCTGAGTACCTTCTAAAATGACCATTTAGAGATTTCTTAGCCTCACTCACCACTAGATTGTATTTGGCATGCAGATATCCAAGTACAAAATACATGTGGATCATGTTCAAGATGAATGGTCCATGTTTCAAATAGGGCTTTTCACTTTAAAATGTAAACAGGACCACAATCTTTTCCTGGTTTCTCCTTGAAAGTATTTGAAGACACATTTAAGAATGCATGCACGCTTCATTTTTAATTCAATATATTAGAATATTGGTGTTTGAACTCAGGACACATGGGTGGCATCTAATGATTTAGTTTTGCTAGTGCAAGGACTTCTGGCTGTGGAATGGAATTTCCCTCCCTCTCCAGTCCCTTCTCTCCCACAACTGTTCTGAGAGTTCTCACAACCCTCCAGAGCAAATTTTGGGGACAGCGCCATGTGCTAAGGGATCTACTTTGTTGCATACCACCCAATATCCTCTAAAACATCCTTCTCCTTAGGTTGCATTCTTCCTGACACCCCTGGGGTTGTTCCCAGTTGACAACTAGGCCTGCCCTGTAGCTTAAAACCAAAACATAGTTTAAGTTGGGGGTATTGCATCTATAGATTGATGAAAAATAAGTGTTACTCATGTAACAAAGTAAATCCTGTTTGTTTGGTAGAAACAATGCAAACGTTTGTGGTGTACAAGTGCAGAAGGCATTCATAAGGGTTGCCGTACGCAGCACATGCCTTTGGCCGATGGAACAGAATGTGGCCATGGAATGGTAAGATTTCTTTTCCACATCTACCTTTCCTTAAATCACTGGCTTTCTGTCCACATCAAGATCTATCCTTATCTTCAAATGTCTTCATGCCCTCCCTTATCTCTCTGCTGTTACATCCATATATGTTGTTGTTGTTTAGTCGTTTAGTCGTGTCCGACTCTTTGTGACCCCATGGACCAGAGCACGCCAGGCACCTCTGTCCTCCACTACTTCCCGCAGTTTGGTCAAACTCATACTGGTAACCTCGAAAACACTATCCAACCATCTCGTCCTCTGTCGCCCCCTTCTCCTTGTGCCCTCCATCCTTCCCAGCATCAGTGTCTTCTCCAGGGAGTCTTCTCTTCTCATGAGGTGGCCAAAGTACTGGAGCCTCAGCTTCACGATCTGTCCTTCCAGTGAGCACTCAGGGCTGATTTCCTTAAGAATGGATGCGTTTGATCTTCTTGCCGTCCATGGGACTCTCAAGAGTCTTCTCCAGCACCATAATTCAAAAGCATCAATTCTTCGGCGATCAGCCTTCTTTATGGTCCAGCTCTCACTTCCATACATCACTACTGGGAAAACCATGGCTTTATATACATCCATATACATATATATATATATATACATACCAATAATACTGAAAGAAATCAATCTTGATTTTTCATTAGTGGAGTGCCTTGCCGGACGTCTCCTCTGCATGAAAATTGTGATGTAGAAGGCAATTCTGAATTAACAATTCAGAACGTATCTATGCTTCCATTGGAGGGAAACAGTATCTTCTTTCCTGCTGTAATCCATTTTTCCACTAGAAGGCAACCCATCAGCAGTTTAGATGTAGCGCAAAGCAATCTGGTCTAGTGTTTCCCTGTACCCAGTCCAGACAATGGCAGAGACATGAGACATAAGAGTCCTTACACTGGGTAATCAGACCAAAGACCTATTTCGTCCACCATCTTCTTTCTCACAGTGGCCTACCAGGTGCCAATGGGAAGCCCACAATAGCCCTCTCATTCTGTTGTTGTCCCAGTGAATGAATGCCTTGTATGTGAACACCAGTGAACTTTGGTATTTGGAGGCATCAACTAGATTTCAGAGACATCCTATTCCTATAGCATCCTGAAGGTAGTCTACAGCCCTCACGAGTGGCAGTCATTAGCAGCGTTATAGTCCAGGGACAAGTACAGGGGCTAATCTCCAGCTGATCTCCTCAGCAACAAAAATGGTTGGAGTGGCTGTGGAACTATTTTTTCTAAGCTCAGGCTGTCCCTATAGCTTGCTGTGTTCTGAGGTGCATGGCTAGAATAGAGGGATGGTTTCTCTAAGGAGTTGCGGCAGTTGGCAGAGCGGGAAAGCAATTGCTGTGTTAAAGCCACTGACCTAATCGCCAAGGGGGGGAAATCCCATTGCCCTTTCCTTGTATCCAGAACAGACAGCGGCTGATTTATGACTGGAATTTACTGTGGGAAGTGCATAGTTGTTCTCACAGTAGTTAACATTTCATAAAGTATTTTCCTGTGAAATACACTGAACAAACCTAAAATCGGGGTACTTTCTTCAGTAATGCCCTGTGGCAAAAGGCATTATTATCACAGCTTCAATTATCAGTGGAGATGGCTCTTCTTACCCTTTAATTTGGACTCCTATATTTGCATTTGTGCTCATGGATTGCAAGTCTTGTGTGCATTGCTTGATATATAAATAATAAAATAAGTATATCTGAAGCACAAGCACTGCTAGGCCGAAGAAAAACTGCATGACACGAACATCTGGGATAGGTCTGGTGTGTAATTTTTCTACTGTGACTTCATCTTGTTTCTTCTGTAGAGAAGCTGCACAGCATAAAAAACTGATACATCTTTATCGAATAAGCTATTAAATCCCAGATGTTAACATGGGCTTATTCCAGTTCTATGGAAGTGGCCATATTAGTACAATATTTCTAGGTATAACTTCAAACATTCCAGAATCGTCTTTCCAGGCAAATATAAAACTAACTCCACTTTTATTTCATGTGCTACACAGTTCGCTCTCAGGTATCATGCCATATTATCCTGTCCACTCTCTTAAGATCAGAAGCTGAGGCCCCTCTCTGTGTCCTATTGGTTTCTACAGCTACAGCAGGCACTGTAACATTGGTTTGACTTTACCCCCAATGGCACACTTTTGCATTGTCACTCAATACAACTTGATGCCAACAACCAAGAGTTGAAACAAGTTTGTCTGGAGTAAGGGGGGAATAGTCTCAGTGGCTGCAGCTAGACTATTAGTTGGGGCCATACCAGTTGTAGTCCAGCTATAGCTGGAGGTCACCATGTTGGCACCCCTGATGAAAGGTACCTTATTTGCCCTCTGCCTGGACTGGCATGGCTGCATAAGGCCTCCATCGTCTACTTACATGCTGTGGTTAGATTGTGTGGCTGCACACCATACTGAAAATAAACCCCTTAATTTGGAATGAAAGCAGGAAATCTATCCTGTCTGAGTGGAAAATGAAGAAGTTTCTACAAGTGCTATGAAAACAGCTGGTGTTTCTTATTGTCCCATGTTTCATAGGAACAAATCCATTGTGCATAAACACTAGTTTTACACACATAAACTCCTTTAGTCTGTTGCATATTGGAGGCCCATCTTATTGCACATGTTTTAGGTTTGCTTTCTATTCTGATCAGCATAAATTGGGGTTCATGCTTATTTCATTGCACAGTGTATGTGTAAAAATATCAGCTGCCAGATTTTCTGATGTTCTGAATGAAAGATACTAGGAGCAGATTGCTTTTGAATTGTTAGACATCTCATTTAAATGCACAAATGAAAGCTTAGATGCTGAACTTTCCAGATTCCTGAATTGTTAATAGTATTTTGAAAGTAAAGTTCGTTAAATAGTGTTTAAAAGACACAGTAATCTTCTAACACCGATTCAATTTTCTTTGATATCAATTCCTGTTCTCCTATTTGATTATCAGAGTCTGTGCACACTGAATTAGTTTTTTTCTAATTTTGATGATTTTGTTATGTTTGTTAATTGAGCAGCATTGCCGGCATGGGATTTGTGTAAGCAAAGAAAAGGAAAAGCTCCCTGTAGATGGAGAATGGGGATCCTGGGGACCCTACAGCTCATGTACCAGAACATGTGGAGGTGGCATCAAAAGCACAACCAGACTGTGTAATCGGCCAGAGTATGTGTTTTGTTCTTCATTTTAAATATATGTCCATTGAGACTATGTTTACTCTGCCTAGTCCTCTGAAAGCAATAATAAATTAATAGCAGGTTTCCATAGCGGATCAGATAATGACATACTGTTTAGCCTTTCCATTATTACTTACTTAAAACCACCTACTTTACCTGGAAGGAATTGCTACTTGCCCCATGTGAACAGTTGAGTGGTGGACCACAAAGCTTGTTTTCAACCCCTTAGGGCTTAGGCCACACAACAGATGCTATTAATCTGGAACCCAATTTTATTGTTCTGTTTAGTCAGATGCAGGCAGGCGGGCGGCATTTTAAAATCGCCCAGGACAGCGGAGGACTTCTCCCTGTCCGGGGCATTTAAAAGCCCCTGGGAAGGCAGGCAGGGGGGACAAAGACTTTTGCCCCCCGCCAGCCTTCAGAAGAGGTCCTGGACCTCTTCTGAAGGCCGGCGGGGGGCAAAAGTCTTTGCTCCCCCCTGCCTGCCTTCCCGGGAGAGCGGAGAAAGGCAGCGCGTTTCTCCGCTGTCCCGGACGGCTTTTGAAGGCAGGCTTTTGAAAGCAGTCCGGGACAGCGGAGAAACGCAGCGCGCCATTCCCGTTGTCCCCCGACTTGGCTAGAAGGCTGGCGGGGGGAGAAGCCTGCTCCTCCCCGTCGCCAGCCCCGCAAACTCGGGGGACAGCGGGAGAGGCGCAGCGCGCCATCCCGCTGTCCCCCGACTTGGCTGGAAGGCTGGCGGGGGGAGAAGCCTGCTCCTCCCCGTCGCCAGCCCCGCAAACTCGGGGGACAGCGGGAGAGGCGCAGCGCGCCATCCCGCTGTCTCCCGACATGGTTTGGAGGCTGGCGGGGGGGGAGAAGCCTGCTCCTCCCCGTCGCCAGCCCCGCAAACTCGGGGGACAGCGGGAGAGGCGCAGCTCGCCATCCCGCTGTCCCCCGAATTGGCTGGAAGGCTGGCGGGGGGAGAAGCCTGCTCCTCCCCGTCGCCAGCCCCGCAATCTCGGGGGACAGCGGGAGAGGCGCAGCGCGCCATCCCGCTGTCTCCCGACATGGTTTGGAGGCTGGCGGAGGGCTTCCTCCTCCCCCAGCCCCGCAAGCTCCCAGAGCGATGCCAAAGCTGCGCGCAGCTTCGGCATGGCTCTGGGTTCCGTTCTGGGGGAGGGGGAAGCTCGGGCTTCCCCCGCCCCAGCCCCACGCCTGACGGTGGGGGAATAAATTTTTTCCCCTTTATTTCCCTCCGCCCCGCCCCGCCAGGCTTCGGAGGAGGTCCGAGGACAGTGGGGAAGACGCGCTGCGCTTCCCGCTGTCCCGGAGATTTCCCTATGGGCTTTCGTCTTGCGAAGCAAGCCCATAGGGAAATTCGTTTTGCGAAGCGCCTCCAAAACGGAAAACCCTTTCGTCTAGCGGGTTTTCCGTCTTGCGAGGCGTTCGTCTTGTGGGGTACCACTGTACTTTGAATGATCTATCAAGAGTAGCATGCCTGTTCAAGTTCTTAAAGACACATTACCATACTTGGATCATAATTTCAATGTATCTTTTGAAATTTAAAGGCAGAAATTATGAATAGTGCATTATTCAAAGCCAAATGAAACATAAGCTATTTTTATTGTATATATTGTCATAGTTGGTTTGTTTAATCCTGGCATTTTGGCAGTGGATAGTGAAGCCTTAGAATAATGTGGTGGGGTTTGTAAAAATGCATGCTTATGCAATGATGACGCAGGTGGCGCTGTGGGTAAAAGCCTCAGCGCCTAGGGCTTGCCGATCGAAAGGTTGGCGGTTCAAATCCCCGCTGCAGGGTGCGCTCCCGTTGCTCGGTCCCAGCGCCTTCCAACCTAGCAGTTCGAAAGCACCCCCGGGTGCAAGTAGATAAATAGGGACCGCTTTCTAGTGGGAACGTAAACGGCGTTTCCGTGTGCGGCTCTGGCTCGCCAGAGCAGCAATGTCACGCTGGCCACGTGACCCGGAAGTGTCTCCGAACAGCGCTGGCCCCCGGCCTCTTGAGTGAGATGGGCGCACAACCCTGGAGTCTGTCAAGACTGGCCCGTACGGGCAGGGGTACCTTTATGCAATGATGACATTTTATATTTAATTCCCATTCACTTTGCAATTGTATTCCCACCATGATGCACATTACAGCTGTTAAGTTGTGTTAAATATTCATGCTTGCAATGTGTTTTATTAGCTATTGAAAGCTGCTCTGGAAATTTTTAATTGAAAGGCTGTGTGTGTGTATATTCAAATAAACGAAAACCACACCAGTGTAGTTTAGTTCTGAAAATATTGTTTATAGTGTTGTGATAGAAGTCTGTTAAAGCTATGCAGTGGTGGCCATCACCTTAAGAACTTAAGAAGATCCTGCTGAGTCAGGCCAATGGCCCATCTGGTCCAGCATCCTGCTCTCACAGTGGCCAACCAGATGCCTGTAGGAAACACACAAGGAGGACCTGAGCACAAGAGCACTCTTCCTTCCTGTCATTTCAAGCAACTGGTATTCAGATCATTACTACCTCTGCAGGCAAAGCCTAGCCATTGATAGCCTTTTCCTTCACGAATTTTTCCAATCGTCTTTTAAAGCCATCCATGTTATTTAGATTAAATCAGTAAGATCTCTTTGGAAAGTTTGTTTTGAATATGACTGTCTGTCTCTGCTTAACATGCTTGCAATGCAATTTTCATTAGGCCAAAACATGGAGGACAATACTGCGTTGGCCGCAGGATGAAATTTCGATCCTGTAATACTGATTCATGTCCCAAAGGCAGAAAAGATTTTCGGGAGCAGCAGTGCTCCGAGTTTGATGGTAAACATTTCAACATCAACGGGCTAACATCTACCGTGCGCTGGCTTCCAAAATACAGTGGCAGTAAGTAATGAGAAACTTCCTATTTAAATTAAATATTCATTTGCATACAATTTCACAAGTGACAAAATACATACTTGGCTTTTTTTGTCCCAACAGTTTCTACAAAGGATCGCTGTAAGCTTTTTTGCCGTGTTTCTGGCACAACGTCCTACTATCAGCTGAAAGACAGGGTCATTGATGGTACTCCATGTGGAACGGACACTCATGATATATGTGTGCAAGGCTTATGCAGGGTAATTGAGTTCACTAAAACAACACAAATCTTTTTGGAAACTGTTTGAGAGCAGCAAAGGGTTTTGTGGTGTCTTAAAGTCCTAACATATTTATTATGGCATAAGCTTTCATGAACTACAGCAGATGTCATATGCATGCATTGCTGGGAGGTAGAATTGTAAACAGCGAGAGGTCAGAGGGACATAAAAGATAGAGAAGTACAAATACCGGTAGTGCTAAAAACAGTGGTCATTAGAAAACAAACACCCAACCTAGTCGGAGTTGATAAAACTGACATCCTGGGATTGGTATTAAGTGAACCATCGCCCACCAAATCAAGTTCATAGGGAGCTTCCAGATCACACACACAAACATACATGTACAGCAATGTCCATATGATGTTGTCATCATAAAAATGCCAGTTCACACACTTGAATTTTCCCTGAGCATGGAAAATCTAATTAATAAACAAAAAACCATTTGCAGACAGATGATGTGTGTGATGACACGTTGGTGGGTGTTTTTTATTGCCACACCCCCTTTTCTGATTGTTCCCCCCCTGAGCACAACCTCTCCATTTGTTTCGAACATGCTCCTAGACACAATCCAGCACACCTATGCTTTTGATATTTTGTTGTCGTAACACACTTGAATTAGAAGTATGGTTTTGGTGTGCTCGTTCGTTTGGAAATTTCTTTTATAGACTAGTAAAGCTAATCATTGTTGCAACACAGCACCAAATGCATTATTGATTATGAGAATTGTTGAATGAATTATTACTTGCAAGGTGTGAGGAATGAGAGGTTAAAATGAGCAATTTGAATTACAGTACCTGTAAATTGAATGCTGATACATGTACTTAAAAACATTTTGACATGTTTCCATAGCAAGCAGGCTGTGATCATGTGTTAAACTCTAAGGCAAGGCGAGATAAATGTGGAATCTGTGGTGGTGATGATTCTTCATGTAGAACTCTTGCAGGAACTTTCAATAGCGCTCATTATGGTATGTTTCTTGATATCCATCTATCTATTTACATATTTAATTGCATGACACTGGCTTTCATATGCCGAACAGATTCTCAAGTTTGATTTTGTGTGTGTGCAGTCAGCTGTGTTTTTCTAGTAGCGAATTCGAACAATTCAAAATTAAAATAATAAATATTGGCATTAAAACGTTTTTTCTACATTCCACAATGCTGTCCAGTATGCCAGACATATTTTCCTTTCAAAAAAGGCTGTATTTTCAAACCCCTATATTATAATCATATTTATTTCTAACATCACTTTCATTTCATTCCCAAACCCAGCTACAGAAAGGAAAGCTGTTGGAGTGTTATGAGCAAGTTTAGTATAGTGCCACATATTTTAATGGTTTAAATCAGTAGTTCTAAACTTTTTTCAGACCTGGGGCCCACCTTTAACCCAATGCTGTATTTTTACTTGTGAGATACATAATTTTCATTTTCTTATTTTGTCGTTGTTGTTATGGCCTGTGATTAAGATAATTAATAAACAAAGCAATATTATATAGGGAATAAATTGTTTTCATTGCTCCTTGGAAGTGATTATCTACTGGTAACTTGTTATTCTGGCAGGGGACAAAAACAAACAAACCAAAAAGCTGCTTTAATTTCTCTTCAGGTTTATCACTTCTCTTGGGAAGTCTATTGTTTACAAGCATAATCTTTCATAGGATTAATTTAAGTTTAATTATATTCTAGGCTATAACATTGTAGTAAAAATTCCCATAGGAGCAACAAACCTTGACATACATCAGCACAGCTATTCAGGGAAGCCAGAAGACGACAACTATCTTGGTAAGTGTTTCAGATAATCCGTTACTGGCTTCATTCCCTATGAGAAATCCAACAGCCCTAAGACTCTCTTGAACACCTTTGCATAATATCACTCTGACTCAGTGGTATTTTACCATATTCAGTGGTATTTTACCACTGCGGGGTTCAAATTAATTCTTACAATTATTTGAACCTTGGAATTTATTTTAATGTTCCATATCGTAATTCCCTAGCAATAATTAAATCATTACAAATGTGCAAGATGCATGTAAGTATGAAGTAAAGATGCACGAATGGTGATTGTTTCTGTTAATGTTGTTATAGCATTATCCAACACTCAGGGGCATTTTTTCCTGAATGGAAATTTTGTTGTGAGCTTGTCTAAAAAAGAAATCAGTATGTACGGCACTAATTTTGAGTACAGTGGGTCAAACAACACAGTGGAGCGAATAAACAGCACTGGCTGGCTTGAAGAGGAGATTCTTTTGCAGGTGAATCTTCAATATGTTAATTAATAGTATGCATTTGCATTTTTTTATACACCAGGAGTGAGGAAAAATTCATTGAAAAACAGTTTTTTTAAAAAAATCTTTGTTTAGGTGTTGTGCGTAGGGAATTTATACAACCCCGACATTCGCTATTCATTCAATGTTCCTGTAGAAGAAGGCCAGGATCTGTTTATATGGGACCCCTATGGGCTTTGGCAGGACTGCAGCAAAATGTGTCAAGGTATTGTCGTTTCCTTGGTTGATGTGATTTTTAAGATATTTCAAAATTTCTTGTCGTAACCTGCTGTCAATTATATTTATTTCTCTTTCACCTTGCTGTGATTTGATTATGGAAATGTGTGCGAAACATAGTTTTGTGTAGGTCGCAACTTGGTAGACCATCTTCATAATTTTAATAAGATAAAGATAAGATAAGATAAAGGTTTTAACCTTTAAAGCCCTATACAGCTTAGGACCCTCGTACCTACGGGACCGCCTCTCCTGGTATGTCCCACAGAGGAACTTACGGTCTTCAAATAAAAACATCCTGAAGGTCCCAGGCCACAGAGAGGTTAGGCTGGCCTCAACTAGAGCCAGGGCTTTTTCGGCTGCGGCTCCAATCTGGTGGAACGCTCTGTCACAAGAGACTAGGGCCCTGCGGGACTTGACATCTTTCCGCAGGGCCTGCAAGACAGAGCTGTTCCACCAGGCCTTTGGCCAGGGCGTAACCTGACTCCCTCCTTTGGCAATCTTCACTGAACTTTAGCTTAATGGTTGCCATCAATTTGATTTTAATTAATTTTTAAAATGAAATGTTTTTAGAATGTTGCACTATTTTATTGTTGTTAGCCGCCCTGAGACCGGCTTCGGCTGGGGAGGGCGGGATATAAATAAAATTTATTATTATTATTATTCACTGTTTAAAAGCAAGGTAATTCTGACTTTAAAAACTTTGGAACAATGAAAACATGATCAGAAATGATGCTTCTACTAGAATGGGGACAAGTAAAAGAGGATGCCTTCACCCTTGCGTGGCTTCCTTTTATTACATATACAAGACAGCAACACAACCCCCCTGACAGCATGCAGACTGATATGGCTAAATTGACCCAATACCCACCACCCCCTCTCATACACAAACAAAACTCTTTGTGATCCACTGAATGCAAGCAACTGTGCTCTGGGTTTCCCAACCTCTTCACCACTAACCAAAACTATCAAACAAACAGACAGACAGTCAGTCAGACAGACAGACAAACAATGAACCTCCAGACACAAAAGATTGAAATAACATTACCCCCCTTCTTTCTCCCCATCTCACTCACCGATTCTTTCCTCCCAACCTCACAATGCTTAACACAACAATGTCTCACCCCAAATGTAACTCGCTTGTAGAAAAGATCTTATGAATTGAAAACAGAGATGTTGTATGTACCCTTGTTATCCATGAAAATCTTTCAATAAAAACAAATTTAAAAAAGAAAAAAGAAAGAAAGAAAGAAATGACGTTTCTAGTTCAGTATACCAAGAAGCTTAGGGAAAAGCTCCCATCTTTATGAAATGTCCATGCAAGAAAAATCTCTTGGAAAATTTGCATTTTGTGAATGCTGTCCTGCTCATAACTAAGTTGCAAATTATATATACGATGTCTGTGTTTTTATGTTGTGCTAAACTACTAGTGTGGCAGGAATGGACCCAAGTTGAGCCTCTCACTTTCACACTTCTCCCTTCCTCCTCAAGGCAAGACTGCAAAGCAATGGGCAGCTTTCACTGGTTTTAATTAACTGCAGTTTAGTAGGTAATTCAGTCCTAAAATGTGGTTGATGTTAACCAATATTTGTTTAAACACAACAGCTTCATAACTCACAGGTTGGTGTCTCAAACAAACCATAGGTAAGATTAACCACATATTGGGCTCAAATAATATGACAGGCTGTGTTTAATTCAAATGGAGGTGAAAGCTTCTGAATCGAACTCCTCGTGGCTACCTCAATTTTACCAGTGTTGAGTCTCCTCCCTGATGTTGGAGACTGTCAGCTCTCTGAAGTGAACAAGGAAGGTAGATGGGGAGGGGAACTAAAACATTTATTGCAAATTTTGATGAGATTAAGCTTTGATGAGATTAAAGCCTGAAATAAAATCTCCTTTCATCCTGTTTAAATCTCATCTTTAACTTTTTCTAAACCTTTCATTTAAGGTCTTCACAGGAGGAAGGTTACATGCATACGAAGGAGTGATCACTTGGTGGTCTCTGACCAAAGATGTGAGCATATAACCCGTCCCACAGCCATAACAGAACAGTGTAATACAGAATGTGAATTAAGGTAACAAACATTTATCAAATTGGATGACTAGATTAACATTTACTCAAACTGTTACATATTCTGGATTTACTTTTGTGACTTTGAAGTGTGTGTTCCACAAACTCATTTAATTCACTGTGTTTGGATTTTTTTATATGATTTCCTTAAGTGGTATAAAAATTCCTTGAGTTGGTGTTTTTTGCATTGAACGATTACAAATAAGAAAAAAGTAAGCTTAATGTTTTTTTGTTTGTTTGCTCCCCATTCTATTTGAACACCTTCATAATTTAGGTTACCTTTACACACTAAAACATATTTAGTTTTATATAATAGTTTATACTTATAGGTGGCATAACACTGGCAAAAGTGAGTGTTCAACTCGGTGTGGCCCGGGGTTTCGATCTTTAGACATCCACTGTATGAAGTACTCTGTTTCAAAGGGACTGAGTGTTCCAGTGGATGATAAATACTGTGCTGATCAACAGAAACCACCAATCCGAGAACCCTGTCATGGAGACTGTCTTCTAACAAGCTGGCATTACACAGGATGGTCAGAGGTACAGATCTAGAACCTTCCTATGACTAGTTTTTGCATTAATAAGTGTGCTGTAGCCTTACTGTATTTTCTGATAGGCAACAGAAAGCTCCGTTCGTGTGTAAACCACTGGCCGTTTTCAAGCATAAGAAATGTTTAAAGCATTCAACAATTTATAACAACTACAGAACAAGATGCTAAATCTTTTCCAGCCCGAAGCATGCATTGATGCACATCTGTGCTTCTATTCCTTAACACGCACTTGTTTATTTTATAATGATACGTTTCTTGTCTTTTCTCGATTAAACCAGTGTTCGAGGAGTTGTGGACGAGGTGCGAGAACCAGAGAAGCTTTTTGTATGAACAACTTTGGCCGCCGGCTGGCAGATAGAGAGTGCCACGAACTTCCAAAGATTATTACGGAGAGCTGCAACGAGTTCTTGTGCCCCAGCTGGACCACTAGTGATTGGAGTGAGGTAATGTGTGCAGATTGATTTCACTGTTGTGAAGCCATTAAGCCCTTTCCATCTGGTGCTAAGGATCCTCAGAATGCCAAGGGGTCTCTTATCGCCAGAGATTCCTGGTTCTTATCATCCTATCATCCTTCTTAACTTAAATTCCTTTTGCCCAATCTCATTACTTAGCCCTGCTCCCACTCCTCACTTAAAATCAATATATTCCATAATTCTGTGGGCTGGACAGTACATTTTGGGCCGCCATGGATGGGAGCAAAGCTTGACTCCCATTTAAGAGTGGTAGTGGCAGGCACCCACCTCTAAAACAGCTGCCAGACACCTGGCAGGGAGTGGCATCACAGAGGTGTTGCTTTGAGACCACAGGTTTGCTGATTTTTGTGCTTTTAACATAGGTTTAACATGCTGTTAGTGTGAGGAACTTATAGCGGGTGATAAGAAAAGTTGGGATTTTTATTTTTACTTATGCAGATTTTATTACTTGATTTGTATACTTCTAAGAGCCTTGTTGGAGGAGGAGCTGTAATATAAAAGCTGCATGACTCAATCAACAAATAACACTCAAATCCTTTTACCATCTCTGATACTCTGCGTAGTGCCCTGTGACTTGTGGGAAGGGAATGAGGCATCGACAAGTATGGTGTCAACTGAATGACGAACAACTGGAAAACGCTTTCTGCAATCCAAACTCTATGCCAAATTCAATGACAGCATGTGAACTTAATGAATGTGCAGCTTGGCAAGTGGGACCCTGGGGAGCAGTGAGTACATAGAAGTCCTTACATAATATTATTTTCAAGCATTTCACCACTAAAAAGCCTCTTCTTAAACCATTTCTGTGAAGACAGGGGGGACAGGTACACTGAGGTTAACAATGCTCCCAAAAATCTTTGTTACGGCCTAAGAAGTCTTTGTACAAGGCCTAAGAATACTTGATGAAAGACTTTGAGGATTAGGTGGAGAACTTGACAAATAGGCAATGGAGAAACTTATGGGAAAAGAGAATATATATATATATATATATATATATATATATGCTTTCGTAGATTTTCACGGGTACAGGAATGCAGGTTTTGGTGTCCTCGGGTGTCTTCCCGTGTAAAAGTTGGGGTGTCTAGGCGACGTTTCGACGAGGTCTCACTCGTCATCTTCAGGCTGGTGCTTTCGGCTTCTTGTTACTGGAACAGAGCAGGATCTCAGTGTTTGAGTTCCTATAAATACTGTTGAGGAGGTGTGGTGTATAGCCTCCAATGTTCTGGGCAGAGAGGAAGTTCCCAGGCTAGTGTGCCTTTTCTTCTTTGTTCCTTAATTACTTGAGGGATATCTTGAGTGATTTCTTGAGTGATATCCTGAGTACCACTTAGGTGGGTCATTAGGTGTGGATTAGTTGCTAAAGCCTTCGTGTCTTGACCTCTTGAACTTTGTGAAGAGTTTTTCTGAGAAGATGGCTGTACTGCACTTAGTTGTGCTCTGGCTTGGCTTCGTGTATACCCTGCAAAGTCTGCCCAGCCACGTACATTGGACAAACAAACAGACGAATAAATGCACGTATCGCAGAACACAAGAATGCCGTCAAAAAAGAAGAAAAAACTTCCTCTCTTTTCCAACACATGAAAGAAACAGGACACGAAATTAATTTTGCAGATTCCAAATTGCTCTTTAACATGGAACATCACCACAAGAGAATAATCATGGAAGCCATCGAGATAGAGAAACACCCTCACAACATGAACAAGCGTGACGACACATCCCGCCTGCCAGACATCTGGAAATTAGCCCTCCCCACAAAAACCGACACCAGATCCAGAGGCACACAGAACGCCATCACCAATCAACCACACCAGACCCAAACCCAGACCCTCTCCACAGATAAATTACAGACACCATCCAGTAGCCAAACCATGGTGGCACCTCCGGATGCTGCACCCCCTGCAATCCCTACACAGATCTGGCTGGCACAGGCCACAAAACCACAGCTCGCCCCTATACACGAAGCCAAGCCAGAGCACAACTAAGTGCAGTACAGCCATCTTCTCAGAAAAACTCTTCACAAAGTTCAAGAGGTCAAGACACGAAGGCTTTAGCAACTAATCCACACCTAATGACCCACCTAAGTGGTACTCAGGATATCACTCAAGAAATCACTCAAGATATCCCTCAAGTAATTAAGGAACAAAAGAAGAAAAGGCACACTAGCCTGGGAACTTCCTCTCTGCCCAGAACATTGGAGGCTATACACCACACCTCCTCAACAGTATTTATAGGAACTCAAACACTGAGATCCTGCTCTGTTCCAGTAACAAGAAGCCGAAAGCACCAGCCTGAAGATGACGAGTGAGACCTCGTCGAAACGTCGCCTAGACACCCCAACTTTTACACGGGAAGACACCCGAGGACACCAAAACCTGCATATATATATATATATATATATATATAGCCAGGAGATAGAGAGCTCTAAAGGCAAGAACTAGAACCTTCAAATTCATTCAAAGGAGAATAGGAATCCATTGTAGAAATCTAAGAAGAGGAATACATGGTTAACAACAGTTGGAACTGAAGAATTTTCCATTTATCTCTGTGTATCCTAAGTCTAATCTGTTCTATCTTTACGGAATTGTTTGTGTTTAGTGCTCTGTTACATGTGGGCATGGATATCAAGTGCGTGCAGTCAAATGTGTTGCTGGCGTTTATGGAACTATTTTGGACGATAACAGAGAGTGCAGCGCTGCAACTCGTCCAAGGGACAGCCAAGTAAGCAAAACAAGTATTTAGAGAAAGTGCTGTGAAAAAATAACAATTAAGTGAGTTTTATTCTACCCTTCCAGCCATCTCATGTTTCCAAAATGTACTTTGTCACCTTTAGGAAATGTGAAATGGCTTCTTGTCCAGAGACCATCAAGCTGTGGCCAACATCACTTCCTGTGATCCAGACTGATAAAGCAGCTCAGTGGAGATACGGATCATGGACTCCAGTGAGTGATATTGCAATGGTGCAATCAAACATGCATTTTCCTTCTTTATTTCACAATTACTTAAACTTCTCCATTTCAAAATGTTATTCTATAAGTACCGTATTTTTCGCTCTATAACACGCACCTGACCATAATCGTTTTTAGAGGAGGAAAACAAGGGAAAAAACATTCTGAATGAAACAGTGGATGTATCATTTTTGTGCTTCATGCTGTGGCCACAGACATGTGATCTGATGGTGAATTTGGGGTGACCCAATGCAAAGATCCTGAGGATCCATGTGGATCCATGCTTTTTAACCACGTTTTTGCACCATTGCAGCCCCAGGCAACAGTGGGTGCGTGATTTTTGGGGGGCAGGCTCTAGCCATGGACATGCTATGTGATCTGATGGTGAATTTGGGGTGACCCAATGCAAAGATCCTGAGGATCCATGTGGATCTATGCTTTGTAACCACGTTTTTGCACCATTGCAGCCCCAGGCAACAGTGGGTGTGTGATTTTGGGGGGGCAGGCTGTAGCCATGGACATGCTATGTGATCTGATGCTGAATTTGGGGTGACCCAGTGCAAAGATCCTGAGGATCCATGTGGATCCATGCTTTTTAACCACGTTTTTACACCATTGCAGCCCCAGGCAACAGTGGGTGTGTGATTTTTTGGGGGCAGGCTGTAGCCATGGACATGCTATGTGATCTGATGGTGAATTTGGGGTGACCCAATGCAAAGATCCTGAGGATCCATGTGGATCCATGCTTTTTAACCACATTTTTGCACCATTGCAGCCCCAGGCAACAGTGGGTGCGTGATTTTTGGGGGGTAGGCTGTAGCCATGGACATGCTATGTGATCTGATGGTGAATTTGGGGTGACCCAATGCAAAGATTCTGAGGATCCATGTGGATCCATGCTTTTTAACCACGTTTTTGCACCATTGCAGCCCCAGGCAACAGTGGGTGCGTGATTTTTTGGGGGCAGGCTGTAGCCATGGACATGCTATGTGATCTGATGGTGAATTTGGGGTGACCCAATGCAAAGATCCTGAGGATCCATGTGGATCTATGCTTTGTAACCACGTTTTTGCACCATTGCAGCCCCAGGCAACAGTGGGTGTGTGATTTTTTGGGCGCAGGCTGTAGCCATGGACATGCTATGTGATCTGATGGTGAATTTGGGGTGACCCAATGCAAAGATCCTGAGGATCCATGTGGATCCATGCTTTTTAACCACGTTTTTGCACCATTGCAGCCCCAGGCAACAGTGGGTGCGTGATTTTTTGGGGGTAGGCTGTAGCCATGGACATGCTATGTGATCTGATGGTGAATTTGGGGTGACCCAATGCAAAGATCCTGAGGATCCATGTGGATCCATGCTTTTTAACCACGTTTTTGCACCATTGCAGCCCCAGGCAACAGTGGGTGCGTGATTTTTTGGGGGCAGGCTGTAGCCATGGACATGCTATGTGATCTGATGGTGAATTTGGGGTGACCCAATGCAAAGATCCTGAGGATCCATGTGGATCTATGCTTTGTAACCACATTTTAAGTGGGGAGGGAAGGAAAAACAAAGAAGGGAAAAGGAGCATGAGAAGGGTGTGCAGAGAAGCTGCTGGCTAAGAATGCAGGAGAGGGATTTAACGGGAGGGAGGAAAGAAAGGCAAAAGTTTCCCCCCACCCAAGCACCCAAACCAGCCAGCGCTCTCTCTCTCTCTCTCTCTCTCTCTCTCTCCCACCTGCATGTTGCCTGCTAGTCCCTAGACGCAGCACCGGAGCACAGAGAGGAATTAGAAGGAACGACTCTGCTTTCCCCTCTTCTTGCATGGAGGGGAGGGGCTTTCCCTGCTCTTTGTTCCGTTTGAGCAAACACAGCAACGAAACAGAGGAGGGTGGGCAGTAAGACCCTGAGGCAGAATGCAGGAAAGCAGCCACTTCCTCTTTTCAGGTTTCCCTTCTCCGTGACTCGCGATTTGATTTTTGTTTGATTTTTTGGCTCCAGGGACCACACATTCGCTCCATAACACACACAGATATTTCCCCTTCCTTTTTAGGAGAAAAAATCTGCGTGTTATAGAGGGAAAAATACGGTAAACTGGGATAAGGATAAGATCTTAAGAATTGTCTTCTCTTGATATGAAAAAGAGATAAAAAACTCCTGCATCGCTTTTCGGCAAATTAATTTAGCCCATTTGTTTTGCAATGTTTATAGTACAACATTATGCATTTGTTCGCTGCTCTTATCTCTTGTTTCAAATTGTGCATCATGCATAGGACGCCTTGTCCCCAGGAGCAGAATAATGAGTAGGCAGACCAGTTGTGGGTAAAAAAAAAAAAATAACAGGCTGCAATTTACAGGAAGAACATGGGGTTGACTTGGCATGGGGCAAGGATCAGTAATAGAACAGCCCACCTGCAGTCCGATTAAGATGGGTCGTCCTGGTCAGGGTCCTTTGTTCTGGTTGGGGTTCAAGCAAGGCCAGTATAAGAAGTCTTGTTGTGCAGGATGACTTACCTTGACAGCTGCAGGGCTAGGGAGTCAAGTGCTAACAAATAGCACCATAATGAAAAGAATCTAGGTAAACTGCTAATTACACAGTGGCATTCTTGACTTCATTGAATATTTGGCAGTGTTTGTCCATAGGCACCCTAGCTGACTAGCATGCCATCCCTAACCAAGGAACATACCCCAGCTACACTTAATATCTTAGGAAAGGAGAGGTTTCTTGACTCTGGGTCCTGAGTATGTGACTGTTTGGTTAGAATAGTACAATTCTGGTTTTGGTCTGTCTTTGCAGTGTTCCACATCTTGTGGGAAGGGGAACCGCGCTCGTTACGTAAGCTGCCGGGATGGTCACGGCAGAGTAGCAGAAGAATCATTTTGTGCACATTTGCCGCGACCCGAAGAACTTTCAAGCTGCTTTAGTCCCTGTGGTGTTTGGCAATCTGGAAGCTGGTCACCTGTAAATATTACTCTTTTTTCCATTTTGTTTTTTATTTTCCTATTTTATATTAGAACGCCAGTGTACACCTAGGTAGAAAGACTTCCTATGTTTAATTTCTGATGAGGCATGCGTAGAGCTGTTTTGGCCCTTGTTCCACAAATGTAGATAATTGTTAATTGCAATTTTTAAAAAAATAATTGTTAATCATTGGTTATCACTTTTTCCTGTTACGTTGTGTCACATAAATGTTGGGTTAATTTTTGGTCAGTGCACAGTTACATGTGGTAATGGAATAGTAACAAGGCAAGTTGTCTGTGTCAACCACCATCAACAAATTGATGAGAATTACTGTGATCCCGAAGGCCACCCTGCCAAAGAACAAGAATGTAACATGCCACCCTGCCAGCCAGTTTATCACCACAATCCGGATACACGTGAACATCCAAACCACCAGGATTATCCTCCAATACACAAGGTCCATCATTCACATGACAATGTAAACTCAAGGAATCACCACTCTCCTCAAGGAAACCAGTGGAGAACAGGACCATGGGGAGCAGTAAGTAAATCATTGTGTGTACATCTTTCTGCAAACATTTGTATGATGATGATGATGATGATGTTTACCCCACCCATCTGGCTGGGTTTCCCCAGCCACTCTGGGCGGCTCCCAACAGAATAAAAAAGTGATAAAATATCAAACATTAAAAACTTCCCTAAACAGGGCTGCCTTCATATATCTTCTAACAGTCAGATAGTTGTTTATTTCCTTGACATCTGATGGGAGGGTGTTCCACAGGGCGGGCACCACTACCAAGAAGGCCCTCTGCCTGGTTCCCTGTAACCTCACTTCTTACAGTGAGGAAACCGCAAGAAGGCCCACGGAGCTGGACCTCAGTGTCCAGGCTGAATGATGGGGGTGAAGACGCTATTTCAGCTATACTGGGCCAAGGCCATTTAGGGCTTTAAAGGTGAACAGATCTTGCTGCTATTCACTTTTTCCATACTGTAGGTCCCTGATCCAGAGGTGTCCATATGCAAACTGTCAACACATATACTTTAATCTTCCTTATATGTTTCTCTTCTCTCACTGAACACCACAACTATATATAACCCTGATGTTATATGTTAAGTGCAAACAAATTTCTCCTTCCTTGCTCTAAATTGAAGGATGGCGTAGTGTGAAAATGCAGTCTTCCAGAGAGGAGATTGCAGCCACTTTGCTCCTCCTCTAGACCTGCTGCTGTGGTGCAGCTGAGAGCTAAGCCATAGTTTTAATTTGTATGCTGTCTGAACCCAAGCTTGTACTTTGTCTCCTCCATACAAACCACAAACTGTAAGCCAAGAGCAAGCCTTTGTTGCAGCTCCTGGTTTGTCTGAAGCACCACAAACCTCATGCCTGAATTCAGGTGGCACACTAAGCCAATAATAATAATAATAATAATAATAATAATAATAATAATAATAATAATAAATTTTTATTTGTATCCCGCCCTCCCCTGCCGGAGCTGGGCTCAGAGCGGCTCACAGCCACCACAGCAGATGCAGGACCAGAGATGGAGCAAAGGGACTGTGAGCTCCTTTCCTCGACCCAACACATCTGTGTGTATGCACTGAGTTTTGTGCTAAGTGTGAACTGGATCATTGTATTCTTTTGGTATTCATACAACTAGGGCAGCATATTGTGTCTATTGCCTCCTAGTGCTCAAGTACTTGTGCTGGTGGATTTCACCGCCGGGTCGTGGTGTGCCAAGATGAGGAAGGAAGAAGTGCCAGCTTCTGTGATGAAGCACTGAAACCACCTGACTCCAGCCATTGCAATTCTGGTCCCTGTCCAAGATGGAACTATGGGGACTGGGGAGAAGTAAGATGATTAGACTCCATTTGGTTAAAAAAGAGTATTTATTTCTATTAATGCTTTCTAACTTACGGTTTCATGTTAGACAAATTCCACGCAGCATTATGAACCCAGCAATGTAACATTTGTTACCAATTTAGTCCATTTTCTAGACAAACCCAGCCCTGGTTCACAAGTAGGGAATGAGGCTGACTTGCAGATGTTTTAGCATAGTAAAGAAACTTTAATTTCACTGCTGTCTGTTGTATTTTTAACAGTGGATATTCCACCTCATTTCTAAGAATCCACCCCCCTTATCTTCTTCCGTTTTCCCCTATCATTTTGTGTCATGCTTCTCAACTATCTATGTCTTCTTTATTGTAAGCCTTTTCTACAGGTATATAAAACAGGCTGCAACCCACTACACTTGCTGGGAGTAAACCCATTAGACCCATATAGGTTTCCTCTTTTAGCTAGTTGTTCTTTGAAAAAGCATTCTATGGTAATAATAATAGTAGTTGTTGTTCTTAGACGGTTGGGCTAGGACCTGGGGAACCAGGGTTTACATTTCCACTCATCCGTAAAGTGACCTTGGATCAATCACCTTGTATCAGCTGAACCAATGTAAATATATAAGAACACTAATATATCTGTTTTCCTTACAAAAAAACCCCAGTTCTAGATAACCAGGCAGTATACACACTTATGTAAAAGAAATGGCTACACCAGTTTTGTTTTCCTCATATGGAAAGGATAAGCCCAATGAATGCCACACACAGCTGATTGGAATAAGGAATACAGATGTCTTTGATAATTAAAATTATGAGCAATAAACGACGGGCTCTTCTTGATAACAGTACCATTCATGGAAATGCTGATCTGTATTTAACTTGCAGTGTACTCAGACATGTGGCGATGGAATAAAGACACGACTGGTGATCTGTCAGCTTGCAAATGGCCAAGCGCTGAATGATCAAAACTGTGAACTGCTAGAGAAACCGCCTGAAAGAGCACAGTGCGATATACATGCATGTCCTGTTGAAGTTTCATGGCATCGCGGACCATGGAAATCGGTACGGTAGTATTCACTATCATATCTATTTTACTTGCTTCCTTTCTCCTTTGCCTTTTTGTTTATTAAGTAGAAGTTTTGTTTAAATACAAGAAAAACAGTGCATTCAGTATGCATTTTGTATATGCAGTTTGCTACTTGGTGTTGTATCCTAACCCCTGTAACTGCTGCATTGCTTCAAGCCTTGGAAGTGGCTAGTCAGTGGCGGCAATTTCAGTGACTCTAATAGAAGTCAAATTGATGCTTTGTACACTCTAGGGTGTGGGAACAAACATGTAGGTTTCTGATCATCAAGAGTGACTAAGCTTTTTGTTACTAACTGGTTTTGAAGACAACGAAAAGGGGGACTTGTTTAAAAGTCAGCGTAAAAGTCTATAATGTTTTCTACATATTTATTTTTGTACATAGAAAATAATGAACACTCTAAAGTCTCTTCGTTGTGTATATAGCTGGCTTGCCTTATATTCAGTAATGTATACCATGCCATCCATACAGTGTGTGATAAAGACTCATATTTGCTGGCTACAGAAATATGTATAATACTGCATTGTGTATAAAATACAACAGTTTTCATTTTATGGTTCAGATAGATTTTGATTTGAAGTTATAAGCACTGGCCTGCACATGTCTAGGGATTGTGTGTTCCCCCCCGTCTCATTGGTGTGTGAGTAAGGATATTTAAAGTATCTATACCTGGTTTGTACAGACTGCAGTTGCCTGAGTTCAGATGAAATGGGGGGGGGGAGGTTTAGAACAAACCAAGGATATTTAAGTCTCCCCCCTTCACACACAAAGGGGAGAGCAACAGGTCATGTTTTATTGTTGTGTTTGAACAAGATCACACCTTGGTTATACCCAAAAACATAGCTATTGCCATTGATGCTTTCACAAGTGCAATTCCCCCCCCCCAAAAAAATGTGAATTATCTAGCCAAAGTTAAGCAGTTTATGGGCATATCCATGCTTACCACACAGGTTTGCACTTTCCCAGTCTGTGCCCAAGTGCTATTTTCCCTCAGGAAAATCCAGTCTTTACCACTGAATTGGAGCAAACAGCAATTCAGGTTTTCTGCAGATTGCCATTTGCTCCGATTCAACGGTAAAGAGCTGGTTTTCATGGAGAAAGTACTGGGGCAAGAAACAGAAGCACTCAGACACAGACTTGGAAAGTTCAGACCTGTGCGGAGCTAAGGTAAACATGAATGAGCCCTAAATGTGTTGTAGTTAAAGATGCTTGAGTCATGTTCTTAGTATAATCACAGTATTATTATTTTAGGAGTAGAATTGGATAGTGGGAGCTACTGGATAACAGAATAACACTGATTAGCCTAGCTAAGCAGATCATGCTGGAAAACTCACTGCATTTATTAGAAGCCTCTGGTTTTATTAAGAATGATTTTGCAAGCAAAATTGTTCAGCGTTCTCCTTAACTATGTCACTATCTATCAGGTTAATACTATAATATCCATTTGCAGTGATTTTTCTTCCGCTGTTTTGAAGTCAATTTTATAAACAAACGTTTTATATGCCGAAAAATATTTAAGTAATTCTTAAAACCTTTTCATGCTGCAAATAGAACTTTCAATCTAGAGCATACTGAACATTCAGAACCAGAATATTTTGTGAAGCATTTCCATGCTTAAATTGCACTCATTACAATGGTAAAATTGTAAAATTAAACTCTGGCTGAATTCTCTCCATTTGAATTCAGTGGTGCTAAAGAAGTGTCTGGATCATACCTCGTAATATTTATTTTCCTTAATGACTCTCTGAAATGATAAACACTAATGATGTTGGAACTAATTCATGAATATGCCAGTCACCCGATTAGTGAGGCATGGATTCTAGAACATAAATGAAAATAAGATCAAGACATGGCAAAGCTGCCAGTACTGGAAAGAATAATAGTTTTACTCAGTCAAAAGTGTGGGAATACTTGGGAATGCAATAGAAAATGATTTAGGCTCTAAGTTTATTAGAATATGTGAAGCTACTTTTGTCTTCATTTGTAGCTCCAATACCCTCTCATGTGAATGGAAGTAACCAACCAACTTGGTGAAGCTGTGAAATTCTATATTTACTCCTAGATGGGTTTCTGTTCTCTCTCATAAAGCTTTATAAGTGAACTGACATCTTTATCCTAAATGCATTAATTCAGCAGTACATTGGGCTGGATCCAGAGCAAGTTCATTGCACTTGGGCTCCATTGAAATCAATGGGAAGTTAGTCATGATTGCTGAGAGCCAGTGTGGTGTAGTGGTTAAGAGCAGTAGTCTCTTAATCTGGTGAACCGGGTTCGCTTCCCCACTCCTCCACATGCAGCTGCTGGGTGACCTTGGGCCAGTTACACTTCTCTGAAGTCTCTCAGCCCCACTCACCTCACAGAGTGTTTGTTGTGGGGGAGGAAGGGAAAGGAGAATGTTAGCTGCTTTGAGACTCCTTTGGGTAGTGATAAAGCGGGATATCAAATCCAAACTCTCCCTCCTCCTAATATTTCTCATTGTTGTCAGTGGGGTCCAAGTGCAACTAACTTGTTCAGGATGCAACTAATTCTGTGTATTGAAATTATGTACAAATATGATATGCAGTAGATATTATCAATCCTCTTCTGTGTTTATATATTTCAACCTCTTTCACTATTAAGTCATTGGCCACCATCTGTTCTTGGCTTCAGTAGTCCTTGGAGTCAGATGAAGTATATATAAGTAAAAGAATATTTATTTGACCTGTGTTAATGTAAAGATGGAATTTTCTGTCATAAAAGTGCCTCCACTCACTTATTATAGTGCCTGAAAGTATTTATATTTTTAATAGTCTTTTATATTAAAAGGGAAGTCAGGATCTTGCTTTCAAAACCAACAACATACTTCTTCCTCTGCTGCTGAATATTGTCAAGCGTCAGAATACCTCATTACTGATATTTGTCCAATGCTTTGTTTACTAACTTCAGTCTTACTATATGCTGATTTTTTTTAATGCTTTGGGAGAAAAGAATGATCTGCCAATGTCTGACATAATTCATACAATGAAATCAAAAGACTCTAAACACTTGACACTCCATCCAGCGCATAATTGTGTTGAAAAAGGAGAACAAAATAGACATTTCTAAAATTCTCAAACAAGTTTAATGTGTTGATTGTATTGTTGTTGTTGTTATTGTTTTAAAAAGTCCATGTTAATGTTCTATTACCTTGTAGTTAACAGAATAAAATAATAAATAATAATTTATGTCTGATAATTTAATTTAATTATATGGATACTACTTGGTGTCTATGCAAAATAATAATTGCTTTTTGATTTAATTGTTGTGTCATCTGTCTTTTGTGGCTTCATAATTGTTAATAATTAAATGTGCTTTTATTAATTCATCCTTTGTTTTTGGATTGTGTTTGGAATTAACCATTGATGTGGAAGTGTTTTATATGACAATAAATGTGCTATTCTTCAGTGCCAATGCTTTCATAGGGGAATAATTTTTACAACACCCTTAAATAATTAAAGATTGAACTACTGCAGAGTTTGTCATGGCCTTTATGTGTGGATTTATATTATCTATTATCAAAAATATTCTGAACCAGGAAGACACTTAGTGGCACATTCCTTTCCGTGTCAGAAAGAAAAATACCTCAGGTAGGAGGAAATCATTCCATAACTACTAAAGTTTCATGGCAGTTTGAATCCTTTAACCAATGTGATCTAGAACAAATACTATTTCAATATGACTGTGACACCATCAGGGCTGGTTCTACCATTAGGTGGAGTACAGTAGACGCAGGTGGCGCTGTGGTCTAAACCACTGAGCCTCTTGGGCTTGCTGATCGGAAGGTTGGCGGTTCAAATCCTCGCAACGGAGTGAGCTCCCGTTGCTCTGTCCCAGCTCCTGCCAACCTAGTAGTTCAAAAGCACACCAGCGCAAGTAGATAAACAGGTACCGCTGTGGCGGGAAGGTAAACAGCGTTTCCGTGTGCCAGAAGCGGTTAAGTCATGCTGGCCACATGACCCAGAAAGCTGTCTGTGGACAAATGCCGGCTCCCTTGGCCTAAAGCAAGATGAGCGCCGCACCCCATAGTCACCTTTGACTGGACTTAAACATCCAGGGGTCCTTTACCGTTTAACATTTCAAGTAGTAGATTTTGGGTGTCATGAAACAGAAAAAAAACAGTTAGCTATTTAATATGCAATTAATGTCATTGACCACAAGGGAAGAGGAAAGGTGGTATTTTTCTGCCTCAGGCACCAAAGTAACTATATTAACAGCTAATACGGATTAAATATGCACACTAATTGTGGTGTCCTTTGGCCACATTCTTATGTCACAAGTAACCAGGGGTGCTGGTGTACCATTGTTTATTGTGTGCAGACACACTATTTGCTTATTCCAGCTTCATTCCTCCTCTGACACAATCGGGAGAAACAAACTAGGAAGCCACAATCAAGCTTGGCTTCTTGTTATAACCAAACCCAGGGTTGTGCAAGCCATGATTGCTAGTCAGCCTTAAACCATGGTTTGTCCCTGGCTTACAAATCCTGGCTTGTTAGAGTGCAATGTGCTTTGATCTTAGGTTTGGATGTAATGGGAGGTTGAGCACAACCATGTCTTACTTTGTTTCTCTACTCATTCCTGGGAAGGAATGAAGCAGGAATGATAAACCAGGAAGCTGCTTATTCGCAACAATCCACCATAAGCCAGCAGTCCTGGCTTATTGTTACCCGTGAACTCTGTTTTGTAGAGATGGGTGTGTGTACATCTATTTATTTATTTAAAGCACTTGTTCCCTGGTCTTCAGCCAAAAGAGGCTTCCAGAGCAGGTTACATGAAATCAAAGCAAGACATTCCCTACCTGCAGGCTTACATTCAAATAAATAACTTAAAATACAACACACAAAGGAAAGGGAACAAGGAGGAAAGAGGAAAATAAAACTTGAAACTCAGGCACCAGTTTGTAGATAATTGTTCCAGCAGGCACAGTTGAGAGGCAGGAGGTCCCTGGTGGAGCTGGGA